CTGTCTGTCTGTCTCCCAGCTTGGCATGAGTGAACTTGGACTTCACCTTGAAATTCATCACCCCTTTACATAACTACAATCAATTGCCTATGAAACAAACTTCCTTCACAGGAAAAAAAAAAAAAAGACCCACACTATTTCAAACCCAAACAGGCCTGCCCGATACCGCCGGCAGCCCATTCACTTAGGGGCCATCACAAACCAGTTCAGCATCAAAAGGGAAAAGCCCTCACTCATTCATAGACGCAGGACAACCTTTGCATGTAGCCCAGGCCCATTCCAAAGCCACCTGCTGGCCAGGTGAGACTATGCTGCCTTCGGGGGTGTAGGGGAAGGAGGGAAGGGCAACAGGAACCAGCTGTGCTGACAGCAAAACGGCTGATGAATGAAGTGTCAGGAGTGCCCCTTTACCTCGGGAGTGTGGTGGGGGAAAGGCGGATCATGACGAGGCTCTCTCGGGGCTGGCCCCCTCGATCCTCAGCAGCGGTGGCTGGGTTGAGGGGGCTCTGTCCTGGGTTTCTCTGGAGCTCTCTCTCCCTGGACCGCTGGGCTGACGTGCCACTTGACTGGGCATGCGCGTCTCTGCTCTGTCCTTTCACTTTGCACGTGTGGCGGTTCCCCTGCTCGTCTCAGGTGCTCCCTGATAAGTGGGATCATATTTCATTCTTCCGGGGAGTCTCTGCCACAGCACCTAGCCCGGGGCCCTGTTCTGAGCGAGGCACCGCCCTTGGCAGCTGGGCTGTTCTCTGTTCGCCCCATTTTGCCAGCAGTCCACACAGAAGGGGACATAGACCCTCCCCCACCCCGAGAGTGAGCGTGGGTGGAGTTGGTCATGGGGCTCTTAAGGAGTCCCCAGGAAGGCTCTGGGGGTGGGAGGGGATTATATCACTTCCTGTGGCCTGGCTCTGCTGACATAACGGCAGGGAGACCGACTGGGCCACGTCACCAGCCTCTGAGCATGACTGAAAAGTGCCCACCCCAGGTTGCTGAGCCTGGGTCATGTCATGAAGGGGGAGAGGACGCCCACACAGCACTGGCTTGAGCCAATGCTCATTCTCTCTCATTCCTGCCCTACCAACTGCTTCCCTCAACTGCCTGACATGCATTGAAAATGCTCAGATTGGGGTGGAGAGATATTACAGCTGGTAGGGTGCTTGCCTTGCATGCAGCTGACCCAGGTTCGATCCCTGGCAACCCATAATTTCCCCCCAATCCTTTCAGGAGTGAGTCCTGAGTGCAGAGCGAGAATAAACCCTGAATACTGAGACTGGAACAATAGCACAGCAGGTAGGGCATTTGCCTTGCACACGGCCGACCCGGGTTCGATTCCCAGCATCCCGTATGGTCCTCTGAGCACTGCCAGAAGTGATTCCTGAGTGCAAAGTCAGGAGTAACCCCCGTGCGTCGCCAGGTGTGACCCAAAAAGCAAAACACAAACAAAAGCAACTCTGAACACCAGTCGGTGTGGCCTAAAACAAGGAAGGAAGGAAGGAAGGAAGGAAGGAAGGAAAGAAGGAAGGAAGGAAGGAAGGAAGGAAGGAAGGAAGGAAGGAAGGAAGGGAGGGAGGGAGGGAGGGAAGAAGGAAGGGAGGGAGGGAAGAAGGAAGGGAGGGAGGGAAGAAGGAAGGGAGGGAGGGAGGGAGAACAGGGATAATTAAGTTCCAGTGAGAGCTACCCCACCCCTTAGACCCCAAGTCATTTCCTTGGCCTTCCCCCAGGAGGATACACACAGGAAGATGCAGTTTGTCCTACAAGGTTCTTAAGGAGTTAAGTCCAGCCGCTTCCAACCCTCCTTGAGAAGTCTAGCCAAGAGCTTTCTTCCAATGCCAGGGCTAGATGACAGAAGGCACAGGAAAAGTTTCTTAAAGCCTTGCTTCAATGCCCTCCTTAATTGGGTTAATCTTTGTCTATGCCCTCTTAACTAGTTCTAGTCGGCTCAGTACCTCCCTGGGCCTCTTACTTTTCCTGACTTTAATGTTTTCACATCCCTCTTATAAATCCCCCTCCCCAGTCCTTTTGGGTAAAGATGTCCACAATGGGGTCAGAGAGATGGGGCGGGGAGGGGGGGTAGTGTTTAAAGTGCTTCCCTTGCATGCAATCAAGCCCAGTGGGATTCCAGCACTGCCTGTGGTCCCTGGAGCACTGCCAGAGGGCACTCCTGAGCATAGAACCAGGTATAGCCCTTGAGCACCACCAAGTGTGACCCCAAATCACCCACCCCACCACTCAAAACACAGACACACAAAGAGCAAAAGAAGTGCCAGGTCCTGGTATAGCTGGGTGGGCTGGCTTCTCCCATTCCCACTTCCAGAAGGGCTGTTCTCAGCCACGGTGGGAGTGTTCAGGAAAGTGCACTGTCACTGTCACTGTCCTCCCATTGTTCATCGATTTTCTCGAGCGGGCCCAGTAACATCTCCATCGTGAGACTTTTTCTTGTTACTGTGTTTGGCATATCGAATATGTCACGGGTAGCTTGCCAGGCTTTGCCATGCGGGCAAGATACTCTCGGTAGCTTGCCGGGCTCTAGAGAAGAGTGGAGGAATTGAACTCAGGTCAGCCATGTTGGCTGTGTGCAAGGCAAACGCCCTAGCCGCTGTGCTATCGCTCCAGCCCAGGAAAGTGCACAACTTTCGGAAAGGGGCCAGGGGACCAGGAACTGAGGTCACCCACCATCTGTCTTTCTCCTCCCACTCCGCCCCCCCCACCATGGCGACTGAAGTCCAACACAACTGTGACCACGCTGGAGGTGGCAGACAATTTCATCACAGAGAAGGGCACGAGGTACCTGATGGAGATGCTGCAGGAGAACTACTACCTACAGGAGCTGGTACCTCCCCCCCACCCCCGCCGCTGCCACCCCCCCCACACACACACTCTCACAGCCTAGCCCACATTAGCCCCCACTGCTCCCCAGGGCAGCTTCTCAGCAAGCTCCCTGTGGCCCTCAGGGAAACCTGGGGAACCATTTCTGACTGGGCCTGAGCAGTCCCCTCAGTGGGGCTGAAACTCCCTTCCACAGAGTTGCCTTGAACTGCGTGTTTTCAACAAAATAAAGACATGGGATCATTTCCTGAAGGACGGTGTCTGTGGTTAGAGAAAGGTGATAGTTATACGACCATGTGAATGTATTTCTGTGCACTTAAAAATGGTTAAGGAGGGGCTGGAGCAATAGTACAGCGGGTGGGGCATTTGCCTTGCACGCGGCCAACCTGGGTTCGATTCCAAGCATCCCATATGGTCCCCTGAGCATTGCCAGGAGTAATTACTGAGTGCAGAGCCAGAAGTAACCCCTGTGCATTGCCAGGTATGACCCAAAAAGCCAAAAAAAAAGGGTTAAGGAAGGGCTAGAATCATAGTACAGTGGATAGGACATTTGCCTTGCATGCAGCTGACCTGGGCCCAACACCTCAACAGCAAATATGGTCACTGGAGCACCGCCAGGAGTGATTTCTGAGTGCAGAGCCAGGAGTAACCCCTGAGCACTGCTAGCTGTGTCCTTCCACCAAAAAAAAAAAAAAAAAGTAAAGAAAGATAAAAGGTGAAAGTGGCAAATACTGTATGATGTCTATTTTACCACAATTTAAACAATTAAAGAGGGTGCAGGAGAGACAGTGCAGCAGGTAGGGTGCCTTCACACCTGCATTGCCAATCCCCGTTCCATCTCTGCCATCACATATGGTCCCCCTGGGCTCTAGGAGGGGTCAGCCTGGAGCACAGAGTCAGCAATAAGCCCAAGATCTGCTGGATGTGAACCTCCAACAAACAGAAGGCCGTTGGTATATAGTCTCTCTCCCCACATGAAGGGACTATGTCCGTGTTTGTTCCCACTTCTTCCTTCCTTCCATTGCGACTCATCCATCGGTGAAGAGAATTGGCAATGACTTTGTCCAAAACTCATTTTCCAGTTGTTTGATGACAGAGTACCCAAAGAACGCTGTGTTGAGCTAACTCCAATCCCTCTCCTCAGTGCTCCCTGGCCCTCCTCCCTGCCTCCCTCAGGGCAGGCCTAAGGATGTCTCTCTCTCTCTCTCTCTCTCTCTCTCTCTCTCACACACACACACACACACACACACACACACCAGCAAGATGTGAGATCTTGCCCTGTGAGATCTTGCCAAACTCAAGTGCTCTCTCTCTCCCTCTCCCTCTCCCTCCCCCCTCTCTGTCTCTCTGTCTCTGTCATTCTCTCCCTCTCTCTCTCTCCCTCTCCCTCTCCCTCTCCCTCCCCCCTCTCTGTCTCTCTGTCTCTGTCATTCTCTCCCTCTCTCTCTCTCCCTCTCCCTCTCCCTCTCCCTCCCCCCTCTCTGTCTCTCTGTCTCTGTCATTCTCTCCCTCTCTCTCTCTCTCTCTCTCTCCTCTCTGTCTCTCCCTCTTCTTCTCTCTCTCTCCTTCTCTCTCTCTCTCTCTCTCTCTCTCTCTCTCTCTCTCTCTCGCTGCACCCAGTGATGCTCAGGGGTTACTCCTGGCTCTGCACTCAGGAATTACTCCTAGCGTGCTCAGAGGACCATATGAGATGCCGGGGACCGAACCTGGGTCAGCCTCTTGCAAGGCAAGCACCCTCTCTGCTGTACTATCACTCCAACCCTCAAGTGCTTTCTTGCCTTTTAGAATATTTCCGAAAACGAACTCGGTTTGGAGGGAGCCAGAATCATCTCAGACTTCCTTCAGAAAAATTCCTCTTCCATCTCCAAACTCGAGCTTTCAGGTGGGCTGGTGGGCAGAGGGAGCAGCCGTGGGGAAGGAGGAGAGGTGAGGGTAGGAGCCTGGAGAACAGGTCAGGCAGCAGCATGCCTGAGGGCTGAAGGGACCTAGTGGCGGCAGGGAGTGAAATGGGGTCAGGTGCTGCACCATCTCCCCGCCCTTGGGTATCTTTTTATTTTTTTTCTTTTGAACTTAGATTTCTATTGCTTTTATGCCTAGTCTATTCTTGGGTCATAAGCTTTTGCTTCTTCAGTTTCTTCTGTGATATTTTTTTCTTCTGTGCCATCTTCCCTCCAGGTAAAAATAAGGAACGTTTCACAGATTCGTATTTCATCCTTGCTCAGGAGCCAGGCTAACCTCTGCATCATTCTAGTTTTAGGACATGTGATGCTAAAGTGAGCACTGTGTCCCTACTCTTTAATTCATGTTTTGTTTGTTTGGGGGCCACACCTGGGTTACTGCTGACTTTGTACTCAGAAATTACCCCTGGCGGTGCTCAAGGAATCACATGAAATGTCGGGGATCGAACCCAGGTCAGCCGTGTGCAAGGCAAATGCCCTCCCCACTGTTGTACTATCTTTCCATTCCCCCCTTTCATTAATTTTTTATTTCTCTCACAGAAAAAGAGGGAAAGGAAAATCTAGTACCCCTAGACCTACCCTCTCTTTGACTTGGGGTTTGAATTTGTATTAAACTCCCTGTCTGCTAATTCAATTCAAATTCAAAGTCCCAAGTGTTTATTCCTGAGTTCAGGGAACTAACACTTTCATCACTTTTCTGTTAGTTGCCCAAATCCAGGAACTAATCTGAAAGTGTCCAGGGCTAGGAATGCCCCGGGGTGGGAGGAAGGGGGCAGGTGGCACTACAAAATCAGAACACACAACACAGGAGCGCCTTTCACCTGGCTCTGGGCTGCTTGGTCACCCAGGGGTAAAGCTGCAACAAAGTTGGGCTCCCAGTTCAAACTGGCAAAACAAGAGAGAGAAGCGTTAAGAAAGCTGTTGGCAGTGGCCTCTACGAACTTGAGAAAACAAGACCTGTCAGTTGGAGGCTGACCTGAACGGCTCTGTGCAACTGTTCCCCAAACCTCTGCAGACCTCCATGAATTGACTGGAACGTAGGCAGCAGAGTATCTTGTGCTTAAGTATAATCTAAACCGACTACGATAAACATAAAAAAAAAAAAGCCAACAAAGCACTGCTTTACAAAACTAACTTCCCCCATGTAAAACTTCTAGAAATAAAAAGGCATATAAATAATAAAAGACTCAGCAGAGAAATTCAACAGCAAATCAAAGACATTTGGGGGCTGGAGCTATAGTACAGCGGGTAGGGCATTTGCCTTGCACGCGGCCGACCTGGGTTCGACACCCAGCATCCCATATGGTCCCCCCAAGAATTACCCGCCAGGGGTAATTCCTGAGTGCAGAGCCAGGAGTAACCCCTGAGCATCGCCAGATGTGACACAAAAAGAGAAAAAAGAAAAAAAAGACATGTTAAGAAAATTAGCAGCCAGGAAAATAGGTATTTTCTCTCTCTCTGCAGTATTACAAGATAGAGTTATAGAGAATAGAAAAGATAAAAGAGGACCAGAGCCATAGGACAGTGGGTAGATGCTTGCCTGACTCATAGTCAACCTAATCCCCAGCACCACATACAGTCCCCTGAGCCTGCCAGGAGTAATCTCTGAGCGCAGAACTAGGAGTAAGCCCTGAGCACTGTCAGCTGGCTTTGAAGTGTAGCAGACTTCCTTCACATCCCCTCCTGTCCCAGCCTGGCTTCACAGATGTGACTTTGCAGTGTTCGTAATAACTGCAGACTCCAAGCACGAAGCTATGGAGGGGTGCTGCCAGTGGACGCACGAACTTCGGGGCACCAACTCCTGCAATTTCCTGGCCAGTTGTGGAGCAGAGCAAAGAGAATGGATGGCACAAGGGAGTCGGCAGTGCTTGGGGGCCCATATGGGATGCCAGGAATTGAACCAGTGTCAACCGCGTGCAAAGCAAACGCTCTACCCACTGTCGCTATCACTCCAGCCCTGAGGGAGGCTCTTTTTCACCTGTTTTCCTCTGCATCTGTCTATTTGCTGAAAGAACCCACCACCTTTTCGATGCCTATTATCCCAAAGGACAGAAACTGGCAAGGGTGGGCTGTGGGGGTTGGGGGGTAGAGGCACCCCTGCTTGGAGAACCAGCTAATGCCGCCTTTCCTGCAGGAAACCACCTCGAGGACAAAGCCGCAGAGCTGCTCTGCCAAGCCCTGTCGGTAAGAAGTGAGGGCTGGGTGCAGACTAGCAGCACGAAGAGTTAGGGGACTCTGAGGGCTGGTACAGGGAAACCGGGAATACAGACCACTTCCATGGCAGCAAGTGGAGAGGCTGCAGCCTTGAGAAGAGTCACAGCAGGGGCTGGAGCGATAGCACAGAGGGTAGGGCGTTTGCCTTGCACGTGGCTGGCCCGGGTTCAATTCCCAGCATCCCATATGCCCCCCCTGAGTACCACCAGGAGTGATTCCTGAGTGCAGAGCCAGGAGTAACCCCTGAGCATCGCCAGGTGTGACCCAAAAAGCAAAAAACAAAAAAATAAGAGTCACAGCAAACGGTCTAGGGGTCCACATGGGCGAGTCCCTGTGGGACAGGCTGACTGCACAGCTGTCGGGGATGGAAGACACCCAGGCCTCCTCAGTTTGGGTGGTGGGGAGGCCTGGAGGCAGGGATTCCTGGCAGAGGAGAGACATTCACCATCCCACAGGAGACCTCAGTGACCTCTTTGCAACTGTTTCTTTCTCTAGTACAATTACCAGATTAAGGTGTTGGATCTCAGCCACAACAAATTCGCTGATAAGGCAGGGGAGGAGCTGGGAGTGATGCTGGGTGAGTCTCCCATGGGGGGAGCGGAGGGCCCTCCCAGGGGCGGGATGAGGACCTTGGCTCCTTAGAGTCACATCTCCCCATCTTCATCGTCTGGACGTTATGATTGTCAAAGTGCCGTAGACATCCCATGAAAGGGAGTTGATAGGATGCCTTTACCTGATGGATGGGCATGAAAGAAAGCAAGTGATAGATCCAACAAAGAAACTGACCACTGACTCCCGGGGTGACGGAAGCCTGGCGCATGGTGCTTGCATCACGATCACGATCACGACCACCCTGTTGTTCGTCGATTGCCTCGAGCAGGTGCCAGTAACGTCTTCTTCGTCCTAGCCCTGAGATTTTTTTTTTTTAAAGTGCCATATTCAAGGCTTTTTCAGGGTTAGGAGAATGAGACCCATCATTGTTACTGGTATTTGGCATATTGGGTATACCACGGGGAGTTTGCCAGACTCTGCCGTGTGGGCATGTTACATTTGGTGCTTGCATGGTGTGCAGAAATTGTCACAAAAAGGATCCCGCGATCAAGAGTGATAGCATAGCGGGTAGAGTATTTGCCTTGCACACGGCTGACCTGGGTTCAATTCCCAGCATCCCATATGGTCCCCTGAGCACCGCAAGCAGTAATTTCTGAGTGCATGAATCAGGAGTAACCCCTGTTCAATGCTGGGTGTGACCCAAAAAGCAAAAAAAAGGGGAAAAAAAGGATTCCACTATCTGACCCTAAATTTGAAACTCACCTATATGAAAAAGCATCATGGACCCTGTTGAAAGACAATCCATAGACAGGAATAGATATTTGCAGCATGTGTAGAATACAGAAGAGGGATGTTCAGAAGAGTGATTCAACAGCCGAGGGATCAGTTATGCCATAATGGTTCCTCCCACAGGACACTGCTGCAGTTATGTGGACAAAGGAAACCAAATGCCCAAAATGTTTTAGTCACTAGGGGACAAAAATGCAAAGCAAAACAACAACAAACATCCCCCTTGTCATCTACCCAAACTGCAAGATTTTCAACTCAGAGAACATAGAGGACAGCTAATGCCCGGGGAGAAATGAGAGCACTGAGAAGCTGCTAGGCAGAGGCACTTTGGAGAGCAATATGACGCGATTTAGTACAACTGAGAAAGTACAATCCCCCCACGATCCGTCTCTCCACCGACGCTCTCGCACAAAGAGACTGTCAGGAGCTTCATTGCAAACTGTTATGACAGAGAAAGGAAGCGAGAACGCAAATGCTTCTCCCGGGAGTGAATGAATAGAGGGGAAGACTCCCTCGTGGAGAGGCACAGGGAACTCATTTAACTGGGACGATGAGAGAAAGCCCCCTCCCGATAGATGATTTTCTCCTGGAGCCTGAGGATCAGAGGAGAAACAGGCTTGGGAGCTCTGCGATCACAGACGGACAGGAAGAACGGGCTCGCCCTACACCCCACTCCCTGGGCTGCTGTTCCCAGTCCTCATGCCGTGTGGGGTCTCTGTGTCTGCTGCAGAGAGTCCCCTGCAGCCCCACACAGATGGAGGCTCATGAGTGGGGCAATCGTGGGCTTATTGGGTTTGCAGCCTGAATCCTGGGGGCCAGGCTCCATGAAGAGAGTCACACCTGCAGCAAAGGTCAGCTGGCAGGTTTAGAAGCATCGCTGTACCTGGATGTGGAAGGTGGGCTGGAGGAAGGGAGACCAGCACGGGGTCGTCGGAGCCAGTGGGAATGGGAGCCAGGGCCGAGTGGTCAGGAGCTGAGTGCAGGAGGCTCTGGGCACACGTTGGAGGGAAAGACACAAGGACTGGTTGGTGTAAAGAATCAGGGCAGGAGAGTGCAGTGGGTAGGGCACTTGCTCGCACCCAACCAACGTGGAATCACTCCTCAGCCTTGCATATGGTCCCCCAAGCCCCACTCGGAGTGATCCCTGAGCACAGAGCCAGGAGTAAGCCCTGAGCACAGCTGGATGTGACACTGAACAAACAAACAGAAGCACAAGAAGACAGACTCATGATAGTCTTTTTTTCTTTTCTTTTTTGGATCACACCTGGCGATACTCAGGGATTACTCCTGGCTCTGCACTCAGGAATTACTCCTGGCAGTGCTCGGAGGACCATATGGGATGCTGGGAGTTGAACCCAGGTTGGCTGCGTGCAAGGCAAACGCCCTACCCACTGTGCTATTGCTCCAGCCCCGACTCATGATAGTTTTATTTGGTTCTGGTTGGAGGTGGTGCCTTTTACTAAGGTGGGAAAATTCAGGGGTTACTGGTATCAGGGGCAGGGACTCAGGGTCATACTTTCTATGTGGGAGGGTGAAGGCATAACACAGTGGGTAGGGTGATCACCTTGTATGCAGCGGACCTGGGTTCAATCCCTGGCAGGTTCCCCCAGCCCACCAAGAATGATCCCTGAATCAAGAGCCAGGAGGAAGCCCTGAGCACTGCCAGGTGTGACTGCTCCCAAAAGGGCCTATAAGACTTGACGGGGCTGGAGTGAAAGCACAGCAGGTAGGGCATTTGCCTTGCACTCAGCCGACCCAGGTTCGAGTC